TCAGGAGGATACTCTCCGGTGGCAGAGTGGTACAAGAGGGTACTCTCTGGTGGCAGGGTGGTACAGGAGGGTACTCTGAAAACTACATCAGTTGGTGATTTCAAAAGGACCTGTTTGATGGCTACCAGAAAGGTTATGGGCCAAAAATGGAGAGGGGGGCTTAACTAGGCATTCTTTTACCCCTTCTGGAAGGGTATGCCCGGAAGCAGAAGCCCGGTACAGGAGGGTACTCTCCGGTGGCAGGGTGGTACAGGAGGGTACTCTCCGGTGGCAGGGTGGTACAGGAGGGTACTCTCGGGTGGCAAGGTGGTACAGGAGGGTATCCTCCAGTGGCAAGGTGGTACAGGAGGGTATTCTCCAGTGGCAAGGTGGTACAGGAGGGTACCCTCCGGTGGCAGGGTGGTACAGGAGGGTATCCTCCGGTGGCAGGGTGGTACAGGAGGGTACCCTCCAGTGGCAAGGTGGTACTGGAGGGTACCCTCCGGTGGCAGGGTGGTACAGGAGGGTACCCTTCGGTGGCAAGGTGGTACAGGAGGGTACCCTCCGATGGCAGGGTGGTACAGCAGGGTACCCTCCGGCGGCAAGGTGGTACAGGAGGGTACCCTCCGGTGGCAAGGTGGTACAGGAGGGTACCCTCCGGTGGCAGGGTGGTACAGAAGGGTACCCTCCGGTGGCAGGGTGGTACAGGAGGGTACCCTCCGGTGGCAGGGTGGTACAGCAGGGTATCCTCCGGTGGCAGGGTGGTACAGGAGGGTATCGTCCAGTGGCAAGGTGGTACAGGAGGGTACTCTCCGGTGGCAAGGTGGTACAGAAGGGTACCCTCCGGTGGCAGGGTGGTACAGGAGGGTACCCTCCGGTGGCAGGGTGGTACAGGAGGGTACCCTCCGGTGGCAGGGTGGTACAGGAGGGTATCGTCCAGTGGCAAGGTGATACAGGAGGGTACTCTCCAGTGGCAAGGTGGTTCAGGAGTACCCTCCGGTGGCAAGGTGATCTAGGAGGGTACCCTTCGGTAACTTTTATGGTACCTTTAGGAGGGTAAACCTCCAGTGGCAAGGTGGTACAGGAGCCTTTCCTCCGGTGGCAGGGTGGTACAGGAGGGTACCCTCCGGTGGCAGGTGGGTCCAGGAGTAGGGTTGGAAGTCATCTAAGACTAAACTTCTTAACTTATATGAGACCTTTAGAAACTAACCCTAGCTAATATCTATAGATATTAGATGGCCTTTTTTGGCGCCTTAGATGTACGGCAGCTCCGAAACCTTAGCAGAGACCTTAGGTGGTCCTGAGAAACTTTAGGTGAAGCTGTCTGAGGACTCATCGAATAGTTACTGAGTTACATTCNCAATGGCTGACGTCGGTGAAGCCTCTGGCAAGCCGCCGAAGGGCAAGCACGAGTCCAGCAAGGATACTTACACCTACAATGGCAAGGAGTACTCGGCCAAGGAATTTTACGAGAAGCTGAAAGACAGCAAGCGAAATAGCCATGCTTCCTGGTGGGCTTTCTTCAACGTTGTGCTGGTAAACAACGCAGTGAAGCTGGCCTGCACGTTTTGCCCCACCCTGCGCACTCAGGCCTCACAGTTCTCGGGTCTGCGGTGTGTGACGGTGTTGTTAGCTTGTCAGGGCTTGGTCCGCTAAAATGTTAGACGTGGTCCGTGTTGTTTGCTACGCTTCCAGGTGTTTCATGCACTGGCTTTTCAGCACGCGTATGCAGTTTCGCGGGGGAAGGTATACCTTCCCCGGGGGAAGGTATACCTGCCCATTACGTAATGGGCAGCGGGGTACACCGACTGGCATGTGGTGCCTGGTATCATGGTGTGCAGTTCGGCAGTTTGCCAATCGCTGTGTTCTTTGGAGCGTTTAGGGGCTTGCTACTTGCTATGTAGGCGCTATGTAGGTAGGTGGCCTGGGGCTGCTGACGTGCACGTCAGCATGTGCTGAGTAGCTGGCTGCAATTTGGTTGGTGCTGCTCATCTGCAACAAACACCAATCAGGGCGTGGTTCGTTGCTAGAGTCCTCATCTGCCATTGCCACCAAGTGGCGGTAGCAGTGCAGTTGCATTGGGGATTCGGAGGGCAGACTAGCGTGATA